TTATTTATTTATTTATTTCTACTGAAAGAACTTTTAATTGAGCTATTGTGCTAGCTTACTTTTTCAATTGATAATCCATCCATGCATTCTTCTTCATTCTCTGATTTTTTACCCAAACATTTATATTTGACAAAATTCTCGATGGCTTCATTATATTTCATGAATGCACAATAAAAAATGTAAACAACAAATAAACTAAATGCTTCAAACCACAAAATCTGAAAAACTGATTCAAATGTTATTTGGTGAAGAATTGCAGTGAATTCAGAATATATGACATCATTATGATTTTTAGCTTAAAAAAATATAATAAAGTTTTGTTCAATGATTTTATTCAACTTCTTTTGCTGCAATAAAATATAATTGTATTCATGATTGCTATATTTAATCTACCTGTTCATCCAGAAAAAAAATCACCAACATAAATAACGCAATCACATAAAATGCAACATCTCTGCAAAAATTATTCAAATTGAATTAATAATTATTTTAGTAGAAGTAAGAATTCAAATAAGTTATTTCACTTCATCACTTTTCTATAGTATACTAATATATATCTGATATATATGCAGTTATATCATAAGCAATACATGATATAATACATATATAAACATATGTATACATATATTTATTAGTGCTGCTAAATGTAGAACACAATTACTCATTTAAATATTTCATTTAAAGGAAGAAATTGAAATTATATTATGCTTATAAAAGATGTCATGTTGTGCGACTATCAGTTTGTATTTTAACTGCCACCTAATGCAGTATGATGAATGAATTTGTTTTGAATATGTAAAACTCAAAAATAAAGGATTTATTCTGGCATTTTCAGAAAATTTTGAAATTAAATAAAAAGTAAGTTACTGAAGAAAAAAAAGTCAAAAGGTTAAATACTGATTATATCAAAGATGACCTGAATAAAGGCCACCAGGTCAGATGAAGTACGCCGTGGGAGAAGAGTGCGCAACAAGAAAGCACACAAAGTATATTAAAAGTAGCGCTTCCTAAATTACCACATTATCATTACTTTATTATTTTGACAAATTCAAACTCTTGATAGTAATTACTAAAGGTCAGTCATATTAGAATTTTACGTTGGCTAATAAAGTGAAATGTAAGTAAGACTTACCAACGATTGTACCTATGCCAACGTTATTTTGGGCAATAAACACACCAATTACCGAAGTAAAAAATTCTGGTGCAGAACCACCAGCAGCCATAAATGTTGCTCCTGAAATATCATAGGAAAAAATTGCGAAAAATTTTTGGATTTCACTTTTATTGAAATAAAGTTAGCTAGAAGGAATGAGAAGTGATCAGAGATATGATAACTGATTATTAATACTCATCCTAAATAAAATATAAACAAATGGTATAACTTGTTTAACGTTTTAAAATTTACGTACTGGACGTGCGTTAATTTTTTTCTCAAACGAAAATGTACCAAAGAAAACAACGATCTTATATTTGTGAAAATATTATTACTTTATCTGTAATTATTACTTTATCTGTATTACTTTTATAACTTTTCTTTCATTTTACATTTTATGACAACTTTAATTTTTTTCAACTGAAATATATCTGTGAAACAACTGGAAAGTATTTGATTATATTGTAATTAAATAATTTAAACAAAAAATAATCAAGTAATTTATTAATGATACCTGCAACATCGTCACTGATTGCCAGCTTATCAGTGATAACACCCAATGATGGAACAAAGAATTCATCACAAACAATAGCTAATGCAACAAACATGTAAATTAGTCCAAAAATATGCAAAATTACTGAAAAATAAATAATTTTTGAGAAAAATATTGCAGTTGAAAATAAAATTTTATTATTATTATTATTTTCAAATCCCTTTAGAGCTAAACCTTCAGCAATATAAAAGGTACTTAAATAAGTGTGATTGATTTGTTACACTGTAATAATTAAAGGATTAAAAGTTCGAGATTGATTTACTTGCTCCATGACGTCGTTGCTCAAGTGTGAATTGATCTGGTGGGAATTGACCTGCGTCATTTGACTTTGTCGTTTCATCTTTAGTTTTATTGCTGAAAACATCAGACTTTGATTTGAACTACTTTTTATGTAGAATGAAGCAAAGGTTTTACACTTGAGTCAGAATTTTAAATAATCAAGCAAAAAAAATCTGCTTAAATTGGACTTCAAAATTGAAAAATATTAAAAAATGCCTTTAAAATTTATTTATTATAACACATTGCAGAAAAAAGTTGTTATTCTTTGATGGATTAAAAAATTAATAAAAAATTGGAATAATTTAATATGGCAATTTTTTTTAATATGAAGAAAATGTAATGAACTAACAAGGAACAGTCTAAGAATCCGAGTAATTTTCGTCGTTGAAAATTAGTGACAATTTTACGTTGATGTGAAAGTAAAAGTTTTTGATGAAACTGTTCATCAGAACTTAATTGAAATATTTGAATGGCAGATATTAAGAATATAGCCAGTAAGCAGATTACTGCCCGCCGGATAAACGATTCATTGAATCGTTGATCTTTCATTCTACGATAAAACTAAAACTTTCTGCAACTTTGGTTTTTTTTCTTCAAATTTTATAATCATCCCTTATTTTACTGATAATATACTCTTTTGAAATCATGAAAATAATTTAAGTATGAATAAAAAAAGAGATATTATAAATATAAGTACTATATAATGATTTTAAATACAGCATGAGATAACAGTCATTAGTATTAGCATCAATAAATAATGGATTTAAAATATTCAAATGTTAGCATAAAATTAATATTATATATGAATTTTTTCTTTTTTCGAATCAAAAGTTTATAAAACTTTTATGCAATCAAAGTAATAAGTAAGAAGATTTGCTAAAACGAATTTAAAAAATAATTTTTTTGTGTAAAAAAGCAATACTTACTTTGTAAGAAACAAAAAGTTTAATAATTTTAAATGATTTAAGAGAGAAATGTTAATTTTGAATTTTTAGTGCTTCTTCAGAATTATTAATCAATGTAGAAATGAATAGAAAGTTGAAAAAAATTAAAATAGATATTAGATTAGCTATTTTAAAGAGAAAAAGACTTGAGGATAGAATTTTATTAAGAATGACAAGTAAGTAAAGTATTAAGATATGATTGAATTACATTACTTGTTGACAATAAAAAGTAATAATTTACTAAATTTCTAAATTGTCTAATTTAAAAAACTTTTGATTTCAAATAATATTAGTAGAAAATTAAAAAATGTACTTCTTAAACCAATGCATTATGAATACTAATTTGACAATTAATTGTTTTTTATTTCTACTGTTTATATCAAATTTGTTATTTGTAACAAACAGAAAGTAAAATTAATCATTAGATGCTATACATTTCTTTATATTTTCATTAGTAATAAAACAATAAATAAAAGTTTTTTTCACATTCTCAAAATAATTTATATAAAATTGGCAGAAATATTTATTATTACAATTTAACAGTAGCTTATTATACCTTAACTGTAGCTTACATAACAGCAAAAGTCCTATGCTTATGGTTAATGCAATTAGTTATTTAACAAATAATTTCGTTTAATTAGTACAAAAATATATAACAGAGGTGAGATGTAAGTAGCATATGATGATGAATGTGATTATTATTATTATTATTATTATTATTATTAAAAGTATCATGCAACTTTAAACATTTTTAACCGTCTAATCTTAAAATACCACTTACATTTTTTTTTGAAATGTTACTAAAATTTTCAAGAATTATTGATCAAGAATACCATAACTATAAATAAATAATGAATATAAATAATAAAAGCTATGGGTATGAGGAATAAGGCTGAATTATATGATCAACAAAGGGTTAATAAGGGAACGTAGTGAAACTAATTATGATTTTGATTAGCTATTAATGCGTTTGTAGTACTAAGGATCAGTAAGGAAAGGTTGATAAGGTTGTGTGAATAACAATTATAATGCTTACTCTTCGGAATAAAAATTAAGAATGTTTTTAAACAAATTCCATTAGTATTAGTAAGTACTTGCTGCACTCATTAATTATGCTATTAAGTGTGGAGAGATTTTTTGATGCAAAGAACCGACGCAACGATCATGAGATTAAATTTAGTTATAAAATATGAACTTGAATGAAATTCAGTAATATGTCAAGGACAGCTGCAATAAGCTATAAGCTATAAGCTATAATCTAGGCTTATTTCACTCTCACTATCACTAGCATTCAAGCCAAGCACGTGGGACTGAAGTAGAATTATCCATATAATATCATCATAATCATATAGCACTTAGTCTAAATTATAAGCATACGCTAACAAGACTAATTTTATGCGCAACATTATTTTTCATTATGAACTTAACCCAATGTTGATAATAATCATATTGTAAAAATACACATATATTTAAAATATACTGCGAAAGTTTAAGCAGTAAGAAAGCTACCATATTAAAAATTTATGCTGTTTGAGGCATTGAGTGAGTAAAAAAAATATTGCAAACTCAAAGTTCAAAAAAGATATAATTTTTGGAAGTGAAGTAAAAATGCAAATTTCATTTCACGACTACTTGTCTTGTTGTGAAGAATGGCAAAAGTATAGCAGTAATTTATGGAAAATGTAAGAAATTTTATTGATGCGTAAGAATTCACAAATTCCCAAAAAGTTTGCATGCTTCAAAGTGAATTTATGTTCTTTACGTGCTGAATTATTCAGTATTTTTAATTTAAAAACTGAAAAATTTCCTAGTATAGCAATTACTGCCAACAAATCTGATAACAAACGACTCCATGAATAAATTTACTGGGCAATAAGTGAAAATCTAAGGCAAATGGTCAAGTCACAAAATGGACTAATCATTGAGAAAGTTGTAAGTAATGGCCTTCTAGATGAGATGAGATGAGATGAGTTCAGATGAGTTGAGTTGAATTGAAATGAGTTGAGTTGAAATTAGATAAGATAAAATGCCTGAGATCAAACTTATCTAACCACATCTCGCATTATTATGTTGCATATAAATGATAATTTTAATTTGAACAATTTATTCAATAAATTATTACTTTTAGATTATTTCTGATTTTATAGTAATCAATTAACTCCTTTAATTGCTAATATTTTATTTTTAAATTTCGAATTGCTAACATTTTTAAAATTTTTTAATAAATTCCAATTTCAAACTATACAATTTTTGAATCAAAAAATTTTTGAGCAAAGCCATTGAAAAAATTTTAGTAAAAGAATGCTTTTTCGCAAAATCTTATATCTAATTTGAATTTTTTTAAAAGTATCTTATTTTTTTTTCCAGTTAATATGCAAATATTTTTGTATATCGTAGAGTTCTATATCAGAGATATTTTATAGTGCAAAAATATATCACAATAATAGCAACAAAATAAAAGGTGTACAAAAAATTATGACATAAAAAATACGCAATCTTGAAAACTAAAAAAAGTTTGGATTGGCAAATCAACAAAAAACCAAAATGCTCATTAATAAGATTTTTGAGAATTCTTGTCCCTATGGAATCTCCTCCAAGGATGCAAATATTCTCTTTTTACTTTTATTCTACTCCTACTTTGCTTCTAATTCGGTTTTTGCTCGAAAGTAAAGTAAGGGGAAGTGAAGTTAGATTGTTAAGCGGGCAAGTTTATTTTTAAACGCAAACAAACAAACAAACAGATAAACGAATAAATAAACAAACAAACAAACAAACGGACAAAACAAACTTAGTAAACAGCTAAAATTAGCACATTTTTTTGAATTTGAATACAAAATGCAAAGGTTTATTTTGATTTCAATTTTGTCACTGAAAGTAACATTTATTTTGGCTTATATATTTACCGCATATTTTCCAAAACCAAACAAAAATGGATGCTTTTGATAGCAATAAAAGATAAGTGAATTTGTAAATGTCACTTCAAAATTTGTTACGTTTCAAAATGCAAAACATTAATAAAAAAGTTAGTATTTGCCAGCATAAAAATTTTGATATTTATTCTTTTTACACTGACAAGCAAATTCGCAATGAATTCATTGTCATTCTCATTAATCCGAGCCTATTTTTAGCATTTAGCTCGTAATTTTATAGTAAAGTTTAATTAAAAAATTATTGAACAAAAGAAAAGATGCGATAAATTAGTATATATATGAATATTTGTCACTGAGTAATCAAAATGGTTACGATATGGAAATATTATCTTGCAAGATAAAGCACAATACTATAACCTCCAAGATAGAAATGTTTGTAGGTGAGAAAGGTACGTGCCAACTTTATAAAGAACGTGTGAAGACGGTGGACCTTTTAGCAACGCAGTGCGAAAAATATTATATCACGACTAAACTAGAAGAAGCAATGAAGTCTTCCGATGCATCCATATGGGACTCTGTAAGAAGTATGGTCTGAAAGTATTTCCGGGCATGCAAAGCCATTCTTTTTAGGAGGTTGTCGCAACAGAGAACGTTGAGATCAGAGTCGCGTGTGAGAACAGCTATAAAGATAAGTGCGGATCAACCAGGTATATGATGCACGATAAGAAGCGACGTGAAGTAACCCTGATAGAGGTTGGCATCATTAGTCAGGACAGGTTAACAGAAGTCGAGACCGAGAAAAAGCCAAAATATGACCCACTTGCTAATAAGCTTGGGTCCGAGATTAAATGCAGGACCAAAATAATTCCGCATGTGATGACTTGAGATGAGATTGTAACGAACTTCCACAAACGCTACGCAAAGAAGATCAGTATATCTGATCACGTTGAAGCGTACATTCAATCGATAGTTCTCAAGAAGACGCTCGAAGACATCTCCTTCGATTACTCGTTATGGATTTCACGAGGAGAAGTAAAAACGTTGAGCACAACAAATCTGAGCGCGAGACAAGTACTGCCAGAGTGCCGGAAGGTGATCCAACGCGAAAATCAAAAGGACGGAAAAAAATATTAACCTCCGACCTTCTGCACATGGTTGCTTATATATTTACAAATGTTGCCAGCAGATTTGTCGCACTTTGTTTTTATTTGAAATTATAAATGAATTAAAATTAGTATTCAATTGCTAATTAATTTTGATTTTGCAGTGAATATTATTATGCATCCAAGCATATATGCGATGTATTTCATTAAAGAGTCAAAAGACAGAATTAAATTATGTATATGAAATTTGAAAAATGTATTTGAAAAACCTTTCTGTTAAAAAAAGAAAGAAAAAAACATACATATAAGTTTTATTATGTTGTAAAATAACTATCTGCTGTGATCAAAATAATTTATATGATTAAAATGCCAAAGTAAATAAACTATTCACAGAGTGAAGTAAATGAACTAACTTTGCACAGCAAGTTTATAAATAAGCAAAACAAACTGCTCAAGCTTAGTTTAACATAGCGCTTTTCAATCTCTCAAATAAGAATGTGCATAAGTAAGAATTTGAAATTCAAGAAGTTATAAGTATAAGGCAGAAAATACTCGTTACTACTTCACCTTTATTCACAATTTAGACTTAACTACTTCTCTTAAGTGACTCAATGAATTTGCAAAGAAATTTT